TTCAGCATTGCGTACCCGCCCAAACAGCTTGAAGATACTTTTTCTTATTTCTAATTTACACATCTTAAAGCGAAGACTTCAAAATAAATATATGTCAACTGACAGTAAAGTAAGTAGACAAACTTTTGTTTCCAAAGGCAACTTGATATTATTATGTGTTTGTTAGAATTGAAGCCAATGAATTTTGTGACCAAACTCTTAGGACATACGTTATGATTCGCGAAACGGAACGGCTTTGTCTATATCGAAAACAGACGATTTTATAGATTCAAACGAGCCCCAAATTTCACGACACTCTAACTAGCCGACAATTGACCACGTTGTAGACTAATTTTATAAATGAATTACCATCTATTCTACCAATTCCATACTTCTAAACAATCAAATGTAGTTTATATGCTGCACAGAACAGCCATTCACGGCTTATGTCATTTCTTATTGCAAAAAACTTTTTTGCAAATTTTGTCTACACTTCAGGGGGGAAGAAGGTTTGGCTGAATGCACTATTATTGATAAACATTTTCCAGAATTCCAGTGATATTCTAAAGCGGCAGACGGTGATAAATTCCTAACTTTTGAATTCCACAACGTGGAACGTGAATACATTAAAGTGTCGCGCTGTTGTTTCTGAATCATAGTAAAGTGTATATAACATATACGTATGATGCAAAAACTAAAAACCACGTACTGCTATAAAACTCTTATTCACATGCCATTAATAAGTGTGTAATGAATGAACCAATACCACTTGAGGTGAAGGAACCATTTGACAGCAATAGCACAGGGTAAATAGGCATAATTTTCTGAATTTTCACAAAGGTGTTTCCTGCTTGGAAAACCCAGTGGTCATTATGTCGTTCAATGATAGACAGTATCATTATTCATTGTTTTCGTGCAATCTTATGACATCAATTAAATGGCACACACACAAAATTATGTTCTAATTGCATAAACATCACTTTCAGTCTATTTTCAAACCGTTTTCTTAAGTAGAATCTGAACGCCAGAGTACGATTCAACTTAGTAGCACCATATGATGGTGTCAACTGAAAACATCTATTCTTGATTACCAAAAAGGGAGGATGGTAGTACCACATCCTACGGCACTGCTAACGGTATGCACGCGCGGATCCTGCCGAATTCAGACATGTTAGCAGTAGTATAGTCGTAAATGTATTTGGTACCAGACTGTAAATTATTCAGATTAGCAGCATATCCCTAAAGCTTATTACTAATTGTTTACACTTGTTTGGACTGACACTTTGGAAAAACCTGCTGCTTAAACTGGTAGAATATTTAATTCCGCTTGATGCCTATGAATTGTGTTTCAACACTATTTCTGCTGACATCCAGAGGATTCGAATCAATGAATATTTTTCAACTCGATTTCTTTTATATAATCACATTTTTTAACATGGATCAAGAGGTTGCCGGGCGGTAGTCAGGTGGAAATATGCTTAAACATTCTTTTCTGACCATGTCATTTTATTATCGGAATTCGGAATAACAAAGATCCAGGGTAATTTTTCTCTAGAGTAAAGTTCAAATCATTACCTAAAAGACTGTGAAGAGTGTCGTAGTCTTAGTTTATCTTAATTATATTGTTATGAGTGGTCCATAGGGCGATATTGGAAATTAAATAAAAATACTTTAAAATAAATTAAAGCCAGAATTCTGTTCACAGTCTTGTAGGAAAAGATTTGAACTGTAATGTGGCTACCTCGATGGTAATAATATTTATCAGAGCGCTTAAGCATTGCGGCTGACCATTTCTTATGTCTTCAGACCCTCAGATGCTTTATAACTCGAAAACGATCAACTTGATTCGTGCTAAGGGAGATCATTTCAACGACGTTGCAAAATAAAACTTCTAAATAAAACGGCTCAATCTACTTGTATGTCTAATGAGGGTGCATTGTTTTATCCAATTAAGCATGCTTTCCAAAAATGTCCTCAAATCGTTATTATAGAGTGTAATGGAATTATTTTCATCAGTGCATATCCGTCCTTTATAAGCCAACTGTTTTTTATGAACACGATCATGTGAGGCCCTAATTGTTTAATGTGCACTAAAAAATTCGTTAAGCCATGCCGAGACTCATACACTGCCGTTTTGAAGTTGAGAAATACCGATATCCAGTGACATCTGTTAGTGGTGTCATAGGAAACCTCTTGTGGAAACCTGTCGCAGTATTTTTCTATTATGCCTCCAAGAGATTAACCAATCTATTGTGAGACGAACAGTACTGTTGAAAAAGGTCATTCAGTTTTATAAGGTTGGCATTGATTTCTTATATCCATTCTCTTTTATTTCCTAAATTCCCTGAGCTGTGTGGGTTTGTTGTAAAACTTTAAGTTTTCCAGAGCACAAAAGGTGTCTCCGCAGAATGATGCATTGTGGTAGATCATGTTGTATAGATGGTAATTCCGAGAGGCAAATTTAAGTAACTGCTTTGAATTCATGTTATGTAAAGGATATTCAGCGTATTATCATTTGTTATCTGACTGCCGAATATTCGCGAATACGTAAAATTGTAGGTGCCTTGTTTTGACTCGTTTGTATGGAAAGCGTTCGTTTTACCGTCCATTTACTTTCATTATAAAATAAATTTCCTATTACTACAGTCTTTTGGGCTTATTTATTTATTAGCTATTCTATCTGTTGACTTACAGATTCAGTATCCAAGAGGCACCAGGCGTGATTATCTTTTCCATTTTCATCATTCGAAACTTTATCCAAATCCAATTGTGCTTTCTAAGTAATATAAGGGCCGAAGATTAACATCTAGGCTGACGAGAGGTAGATCAAGGATTGTGTAGTACCTTTTATTATATTCTATTATTGAATATTGTGATATACATACATAACTACATAATTATGTGATGTTGGAGCCTTTTGCATAGCGACTATGACTACAATGGAGTCTTAACCAGTTCTTTAATATGCGACACGAGTTTCGTTAAATATGTTAGCATCTTCAAATGAACATTAAAACTAGTCGTTGTAACAAAATTGTTTGTAAATGTGACAACAAGTCACTATTTACTAGTTTTTTCAAGACCTATTAGTGGCTAAGAGTACCGTTCCTTTAAAGTGAAATAGAATGCCGGTTTTAGGTAAAACAAACTAAGCATTTCATTATCTCAACATCAGAATACTTTAACCTGATTCCAATACCAAATCTGAAGTTGACCCTAATGACCCGATGTTCTTTGATCTCTGTGGAAGTAGCGATTCTCCTTACCAAACCTTCATAGATGTCGGTAAACGATAACTTGTACTACCTTTCAGTTTAAGTAAAATAATAATGTATGGCTTATCCGGTTGACAACTCTTACTGTCTTTTGCTCATATTCATTTTTAATTATTTTCAACAAAAAAATATGATTTTTTAGAGCTTGAACTAAATGGGGAAGCGAGCATTAAAGGAATAAGGGCGTAAGGTACTGCCTCAATGCGCATACAGTGAGGTGTACCTTTTCTGCTCATTAGACAGGTGCAAGATCACATTTGGCCGGAGCCAGATTTTTTCTCGGAGTATCGGGTCAGTATTAGTGCCATGGGGTAAGGTTAGTATGCTGTGGGTACTTACCTCAAGACGTTGGTGCTGTTGCAAGTGTGGCTTTGAAATAATTTGAATATTCACTTTTAACACTAGATTCCCATTCGATCTCGAGTATTTAAAAAAAAGCCGGCCGGAGAACAGTACTGTTAAACACACCGCAAGTCAACCCGCATTAGTCCTACCAATGGAAGTTATTTACTGAACGTTTGCAGTACCACCGTGGTATGTAATCTGGCGTCCCACCGTTCACTTAGTTGTTGTTATTAATTGTTGGAATTATATTTGCTTTTGTAACTTGAACCTTGCTCTGTATTGGGAAAGGTCTTTATACAGGGTAAGATGATTCAGCAGTTTCAAGGGAGGATGATTGGAAAATGGGAATACCTAGCCACAGTGTTATAGTTCACGGTGCCTGATGATACTTTTTCAATTGCTATTCAATCAAATAACATGAAAGATACAGTATAGCAGAGTCAAAGTAATAATGGATCGGTGACGTTCCGCATGACGACCTTGTGGTATAACACTGTTACTGTGACTGTGAGATCCTCAATCCCAAAAAAGTATGGGAAAACACTAAGTGGCAAAACGTACATGCCTGTCGTTGCTTATCATGCTTTTTTAAATTTGAATGCGAATACATCCACAATAAAAATGTTACAGTCACAGACATTTCACATGATTCCTTTGTCAGTAGTCTCGTGTTTCGGTCTCATTATTGGTCGTCAGTCATTGGAAGCGTTCATCCAACGTAAAGCGGTCCAGCGGTGTAGTTTTTACGCTCTATAGTAGTAGCCATGGGATGACTGTGCTAGTTTGACAGCAGTGTTCACTTGGCCACAGATTTGATAATATGTTGATGATTGTTGCAAACTGTCTATTTCACGGCTGCTGCAATTCAGCACAGAAGCGCTACACCCCTGGACCGCTTTATGTCCTCTGAATGCGCCCAATGCCTTCTCTTGCCTTCCCTGCTTCCCCGCGTGTAACGGCAACTTTATACTAGAATTGAAAGTTGAACGGTTTGGTGCAACGAGGGACCTAAGCCTTTACTTTGAGAACTCTGAACATATAAGTTCGAAAAATCATTTTTCTTGTTTAAATTTGAAATGCTACAATACGCTCACATTTTAAGGTACAAAGATTTGGTGACACAGTGTCGAAAAAATAGAACGTATATTCGCAAAATAAACTCATTTTTGGCTTGCTGCCTTATCGAAAAAAAAATTGTACTCCAAGAGTAATTTTAAAAAGGTTTGTTTTACAAACGTATCACCTGAGTGCTCATTGTTGGACTTCATCGAGTTTGACGAACTTCTTACCTATGGTAAGGCCCTTGTTTGTGACAGATATGGAGCCAAATGCGTGAAAGTCCTTTTTTTATATCGGAGCAGATGCGCATGCAGAAGCCTAAATGCCGGAACACCAAGGCTGCTATGATGATCCCAAAGAAATTTTGTTAATACGATTTTTGAACTGAGTAAAGTTAGTAGAACTGGGAAAAGCGTCCTCTTGTAGATTGTTTCACAATCTCGAAGCGCTCGGAACAAAGAAGCGGTCGTATCGGCCAATTCTGACGGCCCGCCGGTGCGAAAGGGTCCCGAGACTATCTGTTAGAGAAGAGTCATCGATCAGTCGGACCGCCCTCATCTGGACCGCATCGAGCATGGATAATGTAGTCGGGGCGGCAGAACCCCAAACGTTTGAGCAATACTCGAGGCTAGGCATTATCTGGGCCTTATATAGAGTGAGAAGGTCATGCGGAGAAAAGTACTTCTTAGCCCTAAACATATAGCCTAGCCTTTTCCCAGCAGCTGCAGCTATTGACGAGATGTGTTCGCGCCAGATCAGGTCCTCGATGATCTGGACTCCGACCAGCCGGAAGCATTGAACTGTACAAGATTGTTGCGTCCCCAAGCAGTGATAGCCTCCAGGTCTCTTGTCAGAGAGGAAGTCGTCACTAGTCTTCTTTTTTCAGCTCAGCGTCAGAGATCGGCTTGTCACTCTGAATTCCTGCACATAGATTGCTGTCATCAGCGAAGCTGTGGATTGAGTTGATCGTGCAGGAAAGGAGGTCGTTGATATGTAAGAGAAACAGTGTTGGAGCCAAGACCGATCCCTGGGGAACATCTGCGTTGACGTTGTGGAGAACTCGCCAATTACGACCGATATCTTGCGGCCATAGATAAACTCAGCCAACTATCTGCAAAGCTTTTCTGGGAGGCCATAGGATGGAAGTTTGCTTAAGAGGGCAGCGTGCCACAGCTGATCGAACGCTTTCGTGATGTCAAGAGCATCGATATGAGCGTCACCATAAGACTGGATTAGTTTACTCCACAATTGCGTGACGTAAGCTAAGGAGGTCCACTGTGGATCGACTGCCTGTCGCTAATCAAGCTGTGACGTTCGAGGTAGTCCAGGAGCTCGCGGTTTATGCACCTCTTCATCACCTTACTTATAACAGAAAGCAGAGCTATAGGCCTGTAGTTGTAAGGGTCGATCTTAGATCCTTTTTTTTTGGGATGGGTTGGACATGAGTAAGTTTACAGTTTTCTGGGAAGGTGCCGGATTCATAAGATATCTAGAAGAGATGCGAAAGAACTGGAGCAAGCTCCGCTGCACACCTCTTCAGCACAATGGCAGGAATCAAGTCCGGATCAGAAGCTTTGTCGATGTCGAACGACAAGAGCACTCGTCTTACGGTCTTGTGCCTGAATGTTACCTCCCGCATAGTGTAGGGAACCCTTTTGAATTGACGGCACTTGGGCGTTGGCATGGTGGAGTTGGCAGCAAAGATCGTGGCTAGAACTTCCGCTTTGGTCATTGAGTCGAATACAATAGTTCCATCCTGACAGGTAAGTGGCGGAAGGCTACTGTGTGAGAAGTTCTTTTCAATCTGCTTGGCCAACGTCCAGAATAACCGACTGCCATTGCGCTGCGACATTACCCTGTGCCTAACTTTTATATCGTGCTGGTTTTTGGCATTGCGAACCGCTTCATTCGATTTGTTAAACCAGCCGTTGGACCCTCGTTTAGGGACTTTCACTGTGTGAGGGATGTATTCCGCCATTCCGACGTGGATGATTTCCCTTATCGAAATAAAAGTATAAGCGACATCTATAACTGCTATCTCTGTCCTTCTCTACTATCATCTGAAGTCCAGCACCACCTTTGTTCTGTGTATCATTAGCACACTCACTGTTATTAATAACGATCAATTTTCGTTTGGAAGAGGTCGGGATCCTTGATTTATTTTCTTCTCGTCCTTTTCAGAAGAACACCAATTTCAACAACAAAAACCAGGATACGTACGGATACGGTATCCATGTTGTCCTACCAGCATTTTCTTGATACTATTATTTTCGAGTTTCCCTGTTTTATGCCAAAACCATTGGATCTCATTTGTTGAGAAAATGCTTTGAACAAACGTTGTGCCCATTGAAAGGACATCAATTTACTTATCTAGGTAGTATTTAGCTATAAGCTCAAAACGTATCTTTTGAATGAATCTTTTTCTTGGAACAACCCAATTTATTATCCGTAAGACAAAGTATGCATCGAAGTTGAACAGATACCGTATGTCTATGTAATTTTCTGCGATGGCCGACTCATAATTTAGACGTAAAGGGGGAAAATAACTTTGCTCAGGGTGTTTACAGGTTTATTTATTTATTTAGCAACACTCAACGTCGAAAGTCAATTAGAGTATATATACAGGCAACTCAGCAAACAATGCATACGAGGACAGGATATGTTGCAGAGAAATTGTAAAAAAGGAAGCATGCTGCAAAAAACCTCTAAGTCGAAATAGGAGGAAAACAGTTTTCCAGCTTTACTTACCCTGCCCATAATAAACAGAGCAAACATTACCAAGAATATATATTTGAGTCTTCCAATATCCAACAAAATGAAAGTAAGTATATCTGAAACGCTACAACATGAATTGTGATAGGAGGAAACCTATTCGTGTCAGTCGTAGCAAAGTAAAACGTTGGGTTTTTTAAGAGGACTTTGAAATACAAAAGACGATGAACATACTTGTGAAGGAACAAATCTGGCAATTTTTCACGCCTATACAGTCGTCATACCTGAGTTTTATCTACTCTGAATACATTTTAAAACGTTCAGATGGAAACTTGACAAGTCCATCATTTCTGTCGTATTCGATTACTCGGTGAGGTACCAGAGTGATGTCGAAATTCGTTTCCGCTAAACACTTTATTTTCTACTATCCTATCTTAGAGAAGTCCATTCAGCTACTGCTTGAGCCCTCTGGTTACATCTACGATCAAATACAACACTAACATTATATTAAAGATTGCTACCTATAACACCGGTTGACACGTATTCTGTGTACCTACTATTTCCCATATCTTTTAACAATAGTATTTTCGTGGGATAATGAGAAAATTTAATATGCTTATCGGTAACCAGCACTTATGTATTATATTATTAGCATTGGACATAATTTGTAATATGTAGCATTCACAGATAATGGGCCTCAATCGATACCCGTTAGTAAGGTATATGCCTTTTATTATTAAAAAATACATCTCACTTATTTGCCGACCTTGTAGAGAATTTCAGAACGACTGTGTGTTCACAACGATTATAGGATCCTTCTAACAAGCAGAGCACAACTATCAGGTATATAATGAACGTTATTGACACTGCGGTAATGTTTGCAATGATTCATGAATAGGCACATATTACTGAATATATTATTCTTGAGTTCATATAATGCCAGCAAGTGCAAAATTTATTACTATCAGATACAAACCTCTCGGGGAAAATGTGTCATGTATCTGCATTGAAAGCTAGTGTTCAAAGGCACTTTATTTCACATGGATTTTGGAGGCATGTACTTGTGATGTATTATTGTCTTAAAGCAACAATCTTTTTCTGACTAATCAAAATAAGGAAAAGTTGTGTTGAATGATCACTGAAGAATCCTACATATGTCGTGGCCATATTGTAAAATAATTGACCATTCCATGAACTGATCGAGCATTTAATGAAACATCGTAAAATATTTACATAAACTACCGATAGAGGCGCTAGGAGCTAAGAATACTGTGGTCAGCATCAGGCTCTGGAATTTCTGACAATTGACATGTCCACCCTTGGGAGCCTTGCCGCTTATTGGTAAGGTATAATCCATTGATAATTATACAAATTTGAGGATTAATAATTAAACGTGAACAACAAAGAGGCAATAAACAATAGACATGCAATGGAAAAAAAATGCCAGAAAAGAGAATAATTTAGATGTTATTTATCATCAAAAGCAAAATAATTAAAGGTAAGAGTTTCAAATCTGTGACGATCTCGTCTGTGATTCATGTGAAGAAAAATAGGTAATCAAGTGACATTTACGTAAGTTCTGTGATTGAAACACGCTGATATGTTCGGAGACCTGGGTGTGATCTGAGAGTTATGCAGTCTTTGTTTTTGCATGTTATTTAATTCATTTCTTATGCTTTGGTCATTGTTCACCGTCATAAGGCTGATATGCTGATATTCATATATCATCACAAAGGAGCCAATACCCAAGACGCCTTTAAGCATTCAGTAATTTTAGTGCAAAACACCCTCAGCTTCCCCGCTGAGCGACAAGCTAGCTCAGCATCGTAATGCCGATATTTTCCTGCATTATCAGTAGGTTAGGTTAGGCGTCTTGTGAGTGCATCAATAACGACCCCCACTGAGACTCTTTGGTCTATTGTGACTCACAACTATTTATATTTCCCCCAGTAGCTCCGACCTCCTGAGGAAGTCGATCAACTTGTTTGGAGAAATATCTATCAGGTCTCCTGCTTGGAGTACTACATCTGATTCTGTCAACTGCAGGGCATCTGCACAATACATGCCTGACCGCTTCATCTCCCTCCATGCACAGTCTGCACTCAGCGTCCTCCACCATGCCCAGCTTGCTCATGTGGTGACGCAATTTGCAATGACCAGTGAACACTCCTACTAGAGCTTTAAGGGTATTCCTGTTCAGCCGTAGCAAATAGTCTGTTACCTTCTTTGTCAAGATTGGTATAGTTGCCTTAGCATGGGTTTACCCTGCTAACCCCTCCCAGTATTGATGAATCTTTCTGTCCATCTCTGCAGAGATTATTTGTTTAGCCGTATGGTATGCGATCCCAATCGCTGGATCAGGCCCTATGAAGGGTGTGCTAGCCCCACTCTTTGCCAGAGTTTCAGCTGCCTTGTTTCCCTCTTGATCTGTCTGTCCTGATATCCATATGAGACGGACTTCATTTTCCTCCCCTTTGCCACCGACACCTTCTTTGCAATTCCTCACTAATATCGATGTCGAGTAGGTCGAGTCAAGTGCTTTAAGTGCGGCTTGACTATCTGAAAAAATAATTATAGTTCTGTGTCTCAGTTGTCCGTCTGCGATCATTCTGACACACAGTTCTATAGCATATAGCTCTGCCTGGAAGATCGATGCCCAGATTTCTAGGCTAACAGATTTTCTAACTTTAGTTTCAGCACGAAGATACCAGCTCCAATACCTACCTCGGTCTTGGAGCCATCTGTGCAGACACAGATATCTTTCCTTATCAGGTTAGCTTGCTGTTCCCACTTACTCCTGTGTGGAATTGTCACTGAGTAGGGTTTATTTAGCATATCTTGTTATCTTTGGCATCTCTGTATTGCGCTCAGTTTGGCTTGGACAGTTCTTTGTGCTGCCTTGCCCTACCAAACTACAGACACATAGGTTATCATAGGTCTAATGACCATGGTATAAAGCCAAAACAGTTGTTTAGGCTTCATTTCCAAGTTCTTTCCACAGACTCTTTGAAGTTCCATTATGAGTAGCTGCAATAGTATAAGTGACCATTGTGGAATATGGATAAGTTACATAGGATACTTCGCCCTAACGTGTTGTGTTAGAATAATGGTGACAGGTACGTAATGTAGCACTGTTGTTAGTATTTTTTTTATTTCAAAAAAGAAAGATGGTATTACACACATATATTTTGAATCGTACTTCATTGTATTGACATAAACTCTTCTATAACTCTTACTGGCAATGGCTAAGGCTATAAACATGCAAGTTATGTCCCATCCTAATCGGAGTAAATATTGAGAGTACGTAACGTAGTGTCCTCGTAGCTCACCAAACCCACGATTTCAAAGCGCGCACGCAGCGAAGGGAAGCGGCACCGCAATCCCCTACTTTCAGTCTCTCTGGCCGCCTATTACTTGTTCTCGTGCCAAACCGTTAACATGTCAGTCGGATTGGCGCATCGTTTTTACGTTTTCAGCAGTGTCGAGGAATCGATGAACATTTAGAATTATTGAACAGGACAAATGGTAGGCCGATAGATGTGTATTGTCGGCGAGATGCCGACGCACGGTCGCCTTCAAGATTCCTTTCGTCACGGAGCAAAATTAGAAAGTGGCGTGCAGGCATCCTTTTCTAAAAGTTTTAGGTGCAAGTTATGTGAATATTAGCATGGATTCCTCACCGGCGTTACAAACTGTGCCTGACACGACGTTTGGTATAACGTTCTTACACTGTTGCTTGGGACAGCGACCTGGACCTAGCTTGTGATAGCCAACTCCATACCAAGGACGAACAAAGACGTTTGGGATAACGCTAAAACATTGGACTTGGTTGCTTGGGATAGCAACGTGGATATGGCTTGTGATAGCCAGCTCCACACCAAGGACAAATGAAGACGTATGTTATGACGACTTAACACTGAACTCCGTTGCTTGTGATGGTAACTGGTACTCAGCTTATGATGGCTAATATCCTCGACAAATAACAATACCGAAAGCGTTTGGACAACATAGCAACAAAGTGTGGTCAACAATCTCTTCTCATTTGCTGGTGATAGCAAATTTCACCTGATTTGTGATAACCATGGAACAGGATTGTAAGTTTGAACATGGCAGGTTAGGAAATCGTTAAGGTATATTTTTTCCTTATTACCAGATACAGATTAGGTATCTTATGCGACGTTAGTGTTACATTTCGTTTTTGAAAGCAAATTCCATCTGGTTTGTGATAACTATGGAACAAGATTGTAAGGGTGCACATGAGAAGCTAGGAGGCCGCCGAAGTACT